ATGAGTCACGATTTCTCCACTGCTGGATGGAGGGCTCCCTCTCCTAGATTTTGTGGATATACCCACACTTTACCCCACCACACGCGACGTGCCGGTCGATTTAACCGTGGCGTAGCCATTTCTTACCCGCCCCCCCCCCCCGAATCGATTGCATACAAACACAAAAATCTAAACATACGTCAATAACTACTGCCTTCAAATAAAAACGCGACGTTTCGGGCGTTGTCCCATCTTCATAGCACGTGACCTGTGCATCGTATACCAACCGCCATCGCAGTGCATCACCAGACAGTGTGTTTAATTTAAACTCCATGGAGGATTCCCCCGCACCTCTGATTAGCACGGTTGGCTACGTACGGTGTGAAGAAAGGTCAACTTACACCATCCATACATACATGCGAACGAGAACGGCGTCATTATTGGCTGACCTGCAGGTGTCAGACCAAAATTTATCCACAATTCTGGCTGGTCGCCTGATGAGGCTGGTTGTAATTATCGGCGAAACGTCGGACTCGAATTGTAAATGTTGCGGATTTTACTCTCCCAACACACCCGGTGTGCTGTACTAGGAACGAATTGGCACGTTCTGTTTACGCGACAGACCCTTACTAATTGGCTGCGTCGGGTGGTGGCGGGTTGAACGACACATTTATATATTTACGCGATCTAACCGCCCCGCAAAAAAAAAGTCTATTATGGATCACATTGGTCTCGAAAGCCCTACTTACTACAACGACGTGTTAAATTGAATGACGAACTCGCCAATTCTAACCGCCACCAATTAGGCTGACATCCAACCGGAGACCCCCCCCCCCACCCCCCCTGACCTATGCAGGCGGTGTGAGCGGTGAGTGAGGCTTAACACACGTGGCTTCTCCAGACACACGTGGAGAGGTTGGGGGGGGGGGGGTGAGGCGCCTGACTGCATGCTCTGGACTGAGAGATCCCTCCAGAAAGTAAGACGCATCTTCCATACATGTGGCCCGCTGTCGGTGAAGTTGTGCAAATCTGGTCACAAACATACACGCTTAAATAGGATGCATAAGATGCACTTCTCCCCGGGTTATTCAAATAAAGCGTTGTAGGCGCGTGTCTTATCTATTAATAGCGATTACAATTTTTTAAATCACATGCATAAGAATTTTTTTTTATTTAACTTATGTTATACGAGGTGGAGCGGTGGTGCAGTGGCTGGCGCACTGCGCTACGAAACCCAGTAACCCGAGTTCGATTCCGCGCCAAAGTTAACAACACTAGCGGCGAGTGATATCTGAACTTGTCACTGTGCTTCCCCGCATTCACCAAGCCGCACTGAGTAGCGTGGTGAAGTATGGTCAAACAACCCTCCACTACTGGCACGGCGTGGGGAAGACTTCATCCAGCAGTGGATTAAACATGGCTGCCGATGATGCTGACGATTGGGTAAGATGTGTGGCTGCATAATTTGGTGAATACGCAGATTGTTCAGAGTGGGTGCGGGGTGGATAGAGGCGTGAGGACACGAGAAAAAGGGAATTCAGAGCGAGGCAGTTCAGGTTGGCGTGTGGTCGAGTTTGACCAAGAGTGACCTTGCAGGTCACTCATCGAAGAGGCCAAAACAAAAAAATCAAAGTGGTCTTCTTGCTCAAACTAGCGGGTAGCAGAGCAGCCACCTCAGCTGCTTAGATTCCGCTGCCCAGAGCCAGTGGTGGAAATTCCACATTCCTGTGGGGTAGGTGCAAGTGTATTCTTGGAACAAGCAACGGTTGGCTTCCCCAACACAGTGATAGCCTGTTTTACTGCACCTCCGCCCCCTCCCAGAGAGGTTATGAGCTGAGCGCACTGATCGCTTCGATGTGAAATGCAAACGCGCATTTCTACACGGTGGTCCGGATGTCGCGTGACCCCCAATTGATTTCTCTAAAACTGAATAATTTTTCGTATACCAATGGGCGTGTAAAGAGAAAGAAATAAGCAAGGGAGAAAATACATTTTGGGGTCAATTAATCGGGGGGGGGGGGGAGTCACAAGACACCTGGACCACCCTGTACCTTTAATTTAAACAACAAAACTGCCAAGCGGGCCATACTCTTTGGTTCTATTCGGTAAAGTCACAAAGGTGACTTTACCGAATATAACCAAAGAGTATGGATCCTTGCAGTCACGAAAGCTTTAAATCTAGAATTGCCAAGCGGGCGTGCAACGAATATCCTGAGATGAGGTTAGGGGTTAGGGTCAAGGTCACTGGGTTAGAGGCAGCAGGTGCGACTTGTGTTAGCTATATATTCCTAGCCAGCTCGCCATCAGCCACTCACACCAGCTCTATACCCGGAATCCTAACCAACTCGTCAAGCCCTATCCTTTACCAGCTATCTAACCAGCTACTAGTACTAGCGCTCACCAATAAGCCAATCAGCCACGAGCATTCGCTCGACTCCTAATCCTAACCAACTAGCCAAGCAGTTACAAGCCCTTTCCAACAATTCGATCAGCTACGCGTGCGAACTCTATCCCTAACCCTAACTAAGTACCCACGATTACTAACTAACCTCAAGCATCTACCAAAACATAATATAGGTTTTTTTTGTTAGATCGCGTAAATATATAAATGTGTCGTTAAAATCCGCCGCCACCCGACACAGCCAACTAGTAAGGGTTGTCACTTAAACAGAACTTGCTAATTCGTTACCAGTACAGCACACCGGTGTGTTGGAGAGCAAATCCACGACATTTACAATTTTTTTGCGGATGATATTGGTCGCGAAAGCCTACGTGTTAAACTTGCAAAACCATCCACCCATCAACGCCTTTAACTCTACCGCTTTATCTTAACTAACTAGCCAACCAAACCAGTCAAACGTGGCCTCCTAAACCCGACCCAAGCCCCCCCCCCCCCCCCCCCTCCACAGAACTGCACCTGTGGCACTGAGCCGGTCCCATTTCTGGTTGGTTTGCAGTCCTCGCCCCGTATCCGCGGCTCCCGAGGCGAGTTTGTTCAGCTCCGCTGTGTTTACCTTTTCCCCTTTCCATTAGGCACTGTCCCAACACTCCGCAGCCGCCAGAAGCATCGCTTTCACTCTCACTCGCCTGCCTGCCTGTACCCCCCCCCCCCCCACGACGTTCGCCCCATCCACGACCCAAACCATATGCGCTCTGCAAAAAATCAAACAAATAGTTTGGTGCGGTGGTCACGATCGGGTTTGCGTGATGCAAATTATAGAAGGAAAAAAACATGTTGGGGCGCGTCTTAGCAAGGAGCCATATTTTTGAGACGAGAGGCGCCTTACTCCCGAACATCTGGCTGTTGAGCGGCATTGATTCCGGCGAGCCTGGCGCTGCTGATGAGACACCGTGCGTCGAAACCGGCGCGGAGGTTTGCCTTGGTATTGAATCGGGACCGCTGTTGGGTTGCGTAAGAAGCACGCGAAAGGGTTTCACGTGGAGAGGCGGATCGGTGTACGACGGAGGTGAAACGTGTGTTTGCGTATGCCGGTCTCGCTAGCCTTGGCTGGTTTCACAGGTAAGGATCGCTAACTCAGGTGGCACGGGAGAGGCGAGATGCACACGCACTCGACGTTATCAGGAACGCTGCTTGTTAAGCCGGCTTGGAGTAGAGATTGTCGGCGTAAGGCACTACCACTGGAGTGCAACGCACGCCTATCTATAATAAGAATAAAACAATTCTAGATTTGCAGCTTTCGTGACTGCAAGGATTCATACTCTTTGGTTTCATTCGGTAAAGTCACGTAGGTAAAACTAATTAAAATAAAATAAACAATTAAAACACGACGTTTCGGAGGCAACGCAAGCTTCCGTCTTCAGGTGGTTTATTTTATTTTAATCTGTTTTACCTACGTGACTTTACCGAATAAAACCAAAAAGTAATAAAACAACAAGTATGGCCATTGTTCAAATTCCCGTTTTGGTCAATCCACTGCTGAATGGAGAGCCACTCCAGGCCTTGCGTACTTTGACCATACTTCACCGCAGTGGCCAATACGGATTGAAGGTGGGAGGAGTGCAGAAGCACAATGGATGTTGCTGCCCTGTCCACTATTTCCCACAACGCCGATAGCACCTGTGATGCATGGAGGTCACCCACCCAAGCACGACCCAGGCTCAGTCCCAGCTTAGCTTCTGGGGTGTGTGGCGGAATCGGGCGCATTCCGGGCGATGTGGTCACGTGAATTAATTCGCGTAATTTAATAGCAGTTGTAATTGGCAATCGGTATCTCACTCGCACGTCTCCAAAAAAACCCCCAACAAAATTGGCAATTTGCATCTGCCGCACATTAACCGCGCTGATTTTGCCCATCGCCCCGAACCCAAGGGGTGATTTAAATCGATGGGACGAATCTTCAGCGGCGCCCTCTCGAGTCGGTCTCCCTCAAGAGAGGACAGCCAGCAATGTCCACCTCATCATCCTGTCGCATCGAGCGCCCTTGGGACACGGTGGACTGGAAGAAGCAAGAATATGAATTCGTATCATCATCATCATCATCGTCGTCGTCGTCGTCTTCAGCTTCATAAGCCAGGATCCACTGCTGGTTGAATACCTCATCAAACCCGTCGCCCCTCTCTCAGCATCTTGCAATGCACCAATCGCACCTGGCTCCTAGGTGGCTTTTGAAATATCGAGGTTGTTTTTCTTTTTTGCCGAATTTAAACAGAAAATGGCTCTTCCTTTAATTTGGTTTCCGAGCCCCGTGAACTAGAGGGAGCTCGAGAGAGCCCCTCTACTGGATATTTTGGGTCTACCCCTCCACGCAGACTTTTCGGATTGGGTGGAAGTACCCACAGTCGACCCGCACCACACGCGCACCTGGATCGACCGCGCCGTTACCCACTTAAGCCTGCTGGGCGCGCAGCGACGGCGGCAGGGAGCGGTGGGCCGAGGGACATTTTAAGAAAAGTGCCACCGTAGGGTTCAACTGCCGCGCCGAGAGATATTAAACTTGGGCCGGGTTAGGGGAAGGGGAAGAAGATGACGCGGAGCGATTGCCAATAGTTTTGTTCTTCAGAGGTTCACGCCGCAACATCGAGGGTGTTGCAAAAGGTCCGAGCGAGATCGCGTGCGATGAGCAGATACGGCACCGCTGGCTCGCGCGGCCTGTCGCCTTTGTTGAGCTCCAGCGCGAGAAGAAGGAACCTCCGTGGGGTCGAATCCGGACATGTGTTGGCAGCTCTCGCCTGCGCCAGATGCGCCCTCCGTGCGCACAGGCTGCGCCGGCCTAACGTCGCTGGGCCAAACTGCTGCGAGGCAGTACGTGACACGCGACGCGAAATGCAGCCCGCATCCGCCCACCGGCCTGTTGCAGAAACGAAAAGGTTCAAGTTTACGCGAGTTTACTCTTTTTTGCATTCATCAAAGAGAACATTCGATAGATTTTTGAAGATTTTGTTAAAATCTATAAGTTGCTGTAGGATGAGTCGTGGGCGCAGTGGTTAGCGCACTGCACCATGCCCCCCCGGGCCGGCTCCATGAGTTTCATTTTTGGCCGCGGCTAACAGCGGTAGGGAATGGCTATCGGAACCGGTACTGGGTCTCCCCTAGGTCGACTCAACCACAAATGAGCACCCGATACGGTGTGCAAACATCAGCACTGGGGAGAGAAAGGCGGCCGGGTGTAGTGCAGTCTACGATACCACCACATCGTACTGCGTGCCGGCCTTCATAGGTGCTCGCTTGCAACACTCGTCCCAATGCAATGCGCACTGTTAAACAAATATATGCACACGAGTTCCAACTCTGTAGCAATGGCACAGTACGTAAAGCAAACACAAAGATCCCCCGTTGAGGCTGAGCAGACTTCTGGGGCAAGTGCTGTTCGCGGGCAGCTATGGAGGTCCGGAACGGCACACGAGAAGGCGTATGGATTGCCAGCACCACGCTCGGCCGTCTTTGTCTCCCTAAATGGCAATGCGGGGAAGCTCAGGACCGATTAATAAAATCGTCACTGGTGTTGACCGTTGGGCGGCAATCGAATTCGGGTGGGCGGAATTCGTAGCGCGGCGCTGCTAACCGCTCCGCCACCGCTCCCGAGTTTTGCATTATACCAACGCAGCCGCCGTTCGCCACTCAGTGACGGTGACGTCACCACGGCGTCTGTGCCAGGCCAAGTGCACTTTGAGGCCACGTGAAGTGTCGAAGGCTCGCTGACAGGAGGACTAGGGACAGATCCAGATGGTGCCATGGGTTGGCTGACTAAGATGACTGGTAGATGCACCACCTGTGCCCCCTACTGTGCCAACGTGCTGTGTTTTAGCCACCCGGCGCTCCGCTCGTTGTTGTGAGCGTCGCTCATCCGCCCTTCGTTACTGCTGGAGAGCGACTGCCTCCAACTGCCCAGTAGCAGCGTCCTTCAACGAGCCTCCTCCACAGAGGCCGATCTTGACACCGCTGGTTACCAGTCATCGGCAAGTGGACTCAGCCCCACATCCTCCCCTACCGCATCAGCTCCATCTATTCTCCAGCCCGTGTATTAGAACCACCGAACACAACGCGCACCACGGTCACTGCTTGCGTTACTGCTCCCTCCCATCAAGTGGACGCGTGGGTGCCGAGCGTGGCCGCCTCGGACCGTGACCGCGGCTGCAAACGATTCAGCAAGGATCGTCATGGCGCTGTATAAACACCCCTGTAGCCTAAGGGGGGTCTTTTCTGCAAATGATTGTGGAGGTAAAACGCCGGGCTCGATGAATTCACGAGAGAAAGTTGAGATGACCCCCCCCCCCCGCCCGCCCCGCACACACACGGAGAGAGAGAACAACGCCATGAACTTTGTTACTGGAAGGGAAAATGGAAGTTTGGCCGGAGCCAGGACACGGTCCCTGCAAGGGGTCATGGATGATGGGGTGGACGGCCGAGACGAGCAGGCACAAGGGACCGTGGAGATATGACGGAGACTTGGTGTGGGGGTGCTCATCCAGCGGTGGACGAAGCATGGCTGAAGGTGATGATGATGATGATGATGAAAACACACAGAGCAGTATTGTCGTTTTTTTATTTTTTGCAAAGGAGAGCTGAGTTGAGATAAAATGCAACGAGTGTGAACACTGCGTGGTTTTGAGTTTGCATGTGGCAAGCAATATCGGGCGTGGATGAGCGACGATGATGATGGCGATTGTTGGCAATGAAGATGAATATTGCTATATTCTTGGTTCTTTCGGGAAACAATAAAATAATGAAAATATAAAACAAAAACATTATCACGACGTTTCGACTGATGATGATTGCTTGTGTTGCAGTCGAAACGTAGTGATCATTTTATTGTTTTATATTTTTATCATTTCATTGTTTCCCTTCTACGTGACTTTACCGAAAGAACCAAGAATATGAATCCCTGCAGTCACGAAAGCTTTAAATCAAAATGAAGATTGCTGTTGACGAATTATCATCGTTGTTAGTTTTGTTTCTTGCCAATGGCAATGGGGTTCAGGGGCTAAATGCCACTGTCGAGGTCTGCGTGACATGAGCGTACTCTGGCCGGGAGTTCGTGGAGTTTTGCATGCCCGCAAACTCTGCGGCCCAGCAATGGAATTTCCATGGGGGTCTTTTTTTTGTTTTTGAGTTTCCATTTATTGAAGGAGTTGCGTACAGCGGCGGCCTGTTGATGTTCTGATGAATAATGACGATTAATGATCGATGACAATGAGAAATATAATGGTGTATGACGGTTATGAATGCTAATCAGATTGCGACAACCATACAAACCTCGTCTCTGAAAGAGCAAACCCAACGCTGTACGCGAGTAACCCACTCATAGCGCCCCTTTGAAGTGGAGCTCACTCACACTCGAGCCTCTCGAACTGGAGGGGGGGGGGGTATCCCCTCTCCGAATCCCTCCACGTAACAAGACCCTCCTTGTCAAGCACCGTGGACTGAAGCACCACCACCTCCTCCCACCACCACCACCTCCTCTTCCACCAACCCCTGAACGTGAGCTCCACCCGCGCACCCACGCCACCACCACCACCATCATTATCTCCATCCAGCCACCCATCCCTACCCAACACCCGCACCCACTCGTACGACCCGCAGCAAAATATTTCCTGGAGGCGGAGACTCGGCGCAGGAGCTTAAATTGCGCGTTCACACCCCGACTCTGCCGCGGTGAGCTTCTCTCCTCCACACACAACACGCACAACACACACACGCACGCGTGCACTAACACACCCATACACTCAAGCCACGCAAAGAGTTTAAACAGGCAGACACACACACACGCGCGTGTGTGCTAGACATGGCAACTGCAGTGGTGTACGGGTGGCTGGGAGGCCGGGCGATGCTGCGCCTGCCACGCGGCGTCTGCGTGTCGGTTCGCGGGCTGGCGAGCGCCGGCGTAGGTCCGATCGCGGATCGGCCCTACGCCGAGCTCAAGGACATGGCCCTGAACCAGCCAGATGCGTTCTGGGGCCAGGCGGCCAAGGAGCGCCTACGCTGGGATCGCGCCTTCAACAAGGTGCGCGACTGTGACATGGACGCGGGCCGCATTTCGTGGTTCACCGGCGGAAACATCAACGTGAGCGGTGAGGACCGCCCCACACACACACACCCAGCGTCGCGTGTCACTCACTCGCTCTCGCACTCACTCGTTCCTGCGCTCACTCGCTCGCTCACTCACTATTGCACTCACGCACTATTGCACGAATTCGCTCTTACACTCACTCTGCGCTCGCTCACTCACTCTTGCACTCACTCACTCTTGCACTCACTCACTCACTCACCCTTACACTCACTCACTCACTCTTGCACTCACTCTCACTTGCACTCACTCACCCTTACACTCACCCTTACACTCACTCACTCTTGCACTCGCCCGCTCGCTCGCTCTTGCACTCACTCACTCTGTGCGTGTGTGGGTGGGTGCAACGCGTAGCGTGTCACCAATTCGCTTACCCGCTCACTCACTCGCTCACTTATTCGCTCACTTATTCACCCACTCTGTGAGGGTGGGTACCTGTGTGTGCGCGTGGCCATGCAACCCGAACTATGGGCCGCATGGTAAACCACCGTAGTCCGCGTTCATTCAACGGAGGAGAAACAGCAAGACTCATGAAGCCCTCTTCGCCGTGATTAGCAGACCTCGCAACATTGCCATTTAGCTCCTGAATCATAGTGCTGCCATACGCAAGCGAACAATCAACTCACCCCATCCACACTCTGTGCGCGTATGAGTGGATGCCTGTGTGCATGGTACTTCTCAACACGGCCTCAAACGCATTGCCTGCTGCGGTGTGCAGACAACGCGATTCTGTCTACCCCCTCGAGTGCCCTCTTACCCACCCCCCCACTCCACGTGTTCCGCGTGCCGGCCTTCATAGGTGCTCGCGAACATCAAACTTGCCCTAACATCCTGTCGAGGCTACAAGGGTTGATCTTTGTCTTTGTTACGACACTTGCGCCAAGAGGCTGTTTTAGGATACACCGAGGATCTGTGGCTGTTGTGCGTGGGAGTTTGTGTGTGTGTGTGTGTTTAGCTGTCAACGTGTGTACGTTTGGATGTGTGTGTCTGTGTGTAGGGACGCTTGCCCCAACAGCAGTTGAAGGCTATACTGGAGGTTCTCTTTTTGTGTGTGTGGGTGTGTCTTTTTTGTCTTCATGATTGGGTGTTGATGGGTGGGTGTGTGCGAATGCGTGTGTGTGATAAGGTGTGTCGGTGTGTGTGTGTGTGGATAGGTGTGTCTGTGTTTGTAATGAAGAGCGGTAGTGTAGCGCTTAGCTCGAGTTCGATTCCCGCTCACGGCCAACACCAGTGACGATGATCGGAACCGACCATGGGCCTCCCCTAGGTCGACTCAGCCTCAAATGAGTGTCTGGTGCAGTGTGTACACATCGCCACTGGGGAGACAAAGGCGGCCCGGCGTGGTGTTGGCCACCCACCCCCTCGTGTGCCGTGTCGGCCTTGATAGGTGGTCTTGGACTTGCCCCGACAGTGTCCAGGCAATACGGGAGACCTTTGTCTTTGTGTGCAGCTGTGTTTAAGTGTAATGGTAAAGGTGCAGCCCTGCAATTGCTTTGCTCACGCCACTGCTGGCAGAAGGGCTCCCGCGGACGAGCTCTAGAGAGCCCCTCTAGGAGGTAATTGTCCTACTCTTCCACGGTGACCAGACGTCTTGGATAGAGGTTGGAGTACCCACACTTTACCCCACCACATGCGATCTGCCGATCGACTAAAAGTGGTCAAATCATGAGCACCTGTTGGGTGAATAGTGGCAGAGATGCGTGTGAGTTT